CATCCCCCTGGGCCGTGCCGGTGCGCACCGTCTCCCAGCTGATCGCAGCGCCTCCTGCCGACCGGTTACTTCCCAGCGCCAGACACTCGGGCCCGGTTGGCTGCCAGGCTGCCCCAGCACCGGGAACCCCCATCCGGCTCCTCTAGGGCTTCCTCCTGCCCTGACTACCTGAGTCCAGCTGCTGGCAACAGCGTGGTTCAGCCAGACGGCTCATCCTTCGACTCGTCAGCTGCCTTTTTACAGGGCTCAGCACACATCTACAAGAAATGAGCTTAAAAGATTGCAACTGGGAGGGACCATAGCGCCACCTCGGGCTCAGTCCCTTAGAGTAGAGAGGAAACAGGAGCGGCGAGGGGAAGGCGTCTGTTCCCGCTCAGAGCGTCTCAGACTCACCTGTGCGTCCCATCACCTGCGGGTCATGTTAAAATGCAGGTTCTAATTTAGCGGGCGTGGGGCTTGGAAACCTGCATTTCTGACTTCCCGGGTGATGCTTCTGTTGCTGGTTGGAGGACCACACTTTGAGTAATAAGGGCTACTTGCCCAGGTGAGTGGAGAGTGGTTCAGATTTTTGGAGGGTAATTTAAAGAAAAGTTCATTATTTTCAAGTACCAGTAAGACATATGGGAATAAGTAGCAGACAGGTGGAAGATGGCGCTCTGTGGAGCAGTCTGGGCTGGAGACCTAGATGAGGGGCTCAGCGTGTAGTAAATGGCACGGAGATAGACGTGGCCGAGAAGATATCTGGGCTGGGAGTACAGTCTTAGAGAAAGCACTTTTAGGGAGCAGGAGAAGGAAGTGGGGGAGGGAGGTAGAGAGAGAGAGAGAGAGAGAGAGAGAGAGATGGAAACGGAGAAGAAACCATCAGAGCAATGGGTGAAACTAAATGATACAATGGCCCAATGGGAAAAAATCGAGGAGGAGGATGGGCAATATGGTCACGCAATGGGGAGGATGATCATGGGGGGAAAGCCGGCAAAAAAATCTCAACTGCTTAGTCCAAAATACATGCACATTGTAAAGAGCTCATAATAAAGAGAAAATGGAAGTCTTTCTGTAATATGCAACCCCAGTAAATGAGCATGGTTATTATTTATATATTCATATGTGTATTGGGACTATGAAATATACACTGTTCTTTAAGTTTGTTTTAATAACAATGCACTACACAGTTATATTCTCATTGTAAAGAAATAAAGCCAGCTTTTTCACTCCATGATATATTGTAACTTT